CCAAATTATTGATCAAGGTTGTTAGACAAAGGTGAAATTGGTTCGCCCACTGACACACATCCCCCCTGGTCCCTGTCTCTGTTCTCAGAAGCACCTATTGGCTGGGGTTGCTAGGTCCCTCTGAAAATTGCTTGCTAATTGAACTTTACCTTTGGAGTCTTAAAATCAAGCTTGTGGGTCTGTGCACCATGGGTCTGTTGCTGTGCATCTGTGAAGCTGATTTTAGAAGGCAGAACGGTCATGTGCTTTCCTGATGTGATTTGATGGGTTGTGATAAATTCCTTAAAGACAGTGCACCTCCTCCATCTGTGCCCCGAATTTCCTTGTCAGCAGAGTTTTATTTCAGTGTTGATACCCGTTCTTTGGGAGTTATTACAAAAAAGAGAGAAAGGCCCACAGGACAGATGTCCACAAATACAGCCCTGGAGCTGATCTTTTGCTTCCTGACTGGATTCAACATCTAGGGTGATGGGGTCAGCCTGTCACCATGGGGAAGTGTTATCCGCAGGTACACTGATGGGAGTTTTTTCTTATGGATGAGGGATTTAAAAAAGAGATAAGGGAATCAGAAATCTAAGTTTAAGAAAAACTGTGTGTGTTATTGCATACTGTTGCAACCTATAACCCATACTTACGGACATGGAGGCCATCAGTGGCAAGCATCCTTTTTTTTTTTTTTTTTTTTTTAACCTTGACAACTACATACATCCAGCCCTCATATCTGTAAGGCCCAAACATGTGGATTTAATGTTAGACAGAAAATATTTGGGGAATCACATCTGCTCATGTATGAACGTTTTCCTGTCATTTTTCTTTAAACTAGGATTTCTTAGACTTTTCCTACCTGTCACCCATTTCCACCTGAGATATTTTTACGTGACTCTGGGTGTATAGTATGTTAAAGAGGTACATGGAGCAGATATTTACCGTTAAGAAATCATAAAGAAATTCATTTTAAAGGAGTTCTTTGGTATGTATCATTTATCATGTATTAAAGATGAAAGAAAATTTGCATACTGAGATAGTTGGCTCAATGTTTGACCCTGCAGGATGCAGAGCATCGGCGCTGTTTTTCAGAGTTTCCATTTTATCTTGACACAAGCTTGCCTCAATGATTCAAAATATTCTGATTTTATAATCACTAGTACTGAGGATGCTGCTTTGTATAAACATGCAGTACAAGAGGGCAGAAGTAAGTTTAGGGCTGTTTCAGAAAAACTTGGAAATTCTGTCTTAATTCCAAGTCAAAATTAATTTAACAGTTTTCAAAAATAAAATTCAAGAAAGCAGCTCAAACAGGAATTTAAAAAATCAAACATTCTCACACAATACAGTCGGGAGAGATATTTTCTTGATACTTCCATGCTGAGGCCTGAGGGTAAGAAGATACTGAAAGTCTTTATTTCCCGCAATTAAATCATGTTTCTAGAAGAGTAGAACATTTTGTTTGTACAATAAAACCACTGTAATTCATAGAGTACAATAGTCTTTTAATTTTAATCTTTAAAAGAGAAACATTTTAATATGAATGTTGAACTTTGTAATACATGTAGGGAAGGACAGAAAGTCAAATTGTATCAATGTACTTGTGTTTCCAAACTGCTTTTTTGTCCTACCATTTATTTTATTTATTTATTTATTTTTTTTGTGGTGAGTAAAAACATACCTGATGGTGAAGGGAAGCCCCACAGCTTCAGACGGGACATTCCAGCTGCAGGGACATTCACGAGGTGCCCAGAGCCTGGGACAGGGCAGGTGTTCGAGGACTACCTTAAACTGTGTCATGTTATTTGTGAGTTAATAAGAATACAGTGGTTTTTTAAAAATACCGTTTTTTTATGTGTATGAATGTATTGCCTGCATGTATTTATGCACCAGTGTCATGCAGTGCCCGAGGTCAGAAGAGGGCGTTGGATCCCCTGGAACTGGAGTTAGGGACAGTTGTTAGCCTCCATGTGGGTGCTGGGAACCGAACCCGGTCCTCTGAGCGCAGCCAGTGCTTGTAACCGCTGAGCCATGTCTCCAGCCCAGAGAATAAAGTGGTTTATTTAAAATACACTGAGGTGTCCTGAGTGTGGGCAGGTGTTTCAGGCCACGCTTGTTGGCACTGGCTGGTGTGAAGGCGGGTGTGGTGTGACGTGCGTTATGTGACCCCACGGGTGGGCGCCTGGAGTGGACGAGGCTGGGCCCGACCCGCGCCACTGCTCACGTCACCTCCGCGTGCTGAGCGTTCCGGGCCGTCTAGAGACGTGTGGGGTCCGCACGGGCCCTGCCCAGAGGCCGATGCGCACGGAAGCACTTGAGGGCCTGAGAGTCCAGTACTGGGGGGTGGGGGTCGCAGAACCAACCTCTGTGGGTACCGAGGGCAGGCTTGCTGCCGTGGAGCCACGTTCGTCCGGGTACCCGGTAGGCATTCATGGAGCGTCCACATGTGCTGGGCACCGCTTCTGAAAGTCGACGGTGACGTTCAGCAGCAGATCGTCTTTAAGGAATGTGAGGCTGTGTAGTCGCCGAGGTAGAAAGGGAAGGAAGGTGTCACGGAGAGCGAGGGGGAGGCGCCGGTGTGGGGGAGGCCTTCACGCACGTTTTCCTGTTTTAACGACGGCTGTGATACGCTGTTTGTATATGACTTGGCTATCGGTGGCCTTTTTCTGGTCTGCTGTCATTTGAAATTTGTTTTAATATGATTTTTTATTTCTTTACAGTATAGAACGTCTATGAGTCAGTTCGCTAAGAACATGCAAGATTAGAAGAGCTGAAAAATCAGAATTAAACCTGCTTTTAGAAACCGTGAGTCCTTCAATAAATTCGCTTCTGACGTCATTGCCTTGCAGTTGCCCCCAAAGCTTCCAATCAGTTTGTTATGCTGCTGAAAATTTATGACATGCCTCATCCTTTTTATTTTGGGGGGGAGGTTATCTATTTAAATTTTTATTTTATGAGCATAGGAGTGTCTTGCCTGCATGTATGTAAGCGCACCATGTACACATAGTGTCTGTGGAGGCCAGAAGAGAGTGTCAGATCCCCTGGAACTGGATGGTTGTTAGCCACCATCTGGGTGCTGGGAACTGAACCTGGGTCCTCTGGAGGAGCAGAGGGTTCAGTTCAGTTATTTTCTTTCCTTTTTTTCTTCTTTTTTTTTGAGACAGGGTTCTAACTAGGTAGGTAGCACTGGATGGCCTGGAACTTGCTACATAGACCAGCCTGGGCTTGAATTTACAAAGACCCACCCGCCTCTGCTGGGATTAAAGATGTGCACCACTTTGCCTGGTATATTGAAAGCTTCTAAATTGTGAGTGCAACTGACATGTTGCCTGCAGGCTTGGGCACGGGTCCATCTGGCACCAGGAAGGAGTACAAACTTGGCATCAGTGTAGAAAAGGCACCTCTTCCTCTTCAGGTGCCTCCTGCCCTTCACTCCAGACCATTTTAGTGCCTCACCCACGGACCGGGGATTGTTGGTCCCTCAGTGACCCAGCAGACCGAGGAAGTGTTTCCATAGGGTTTGTTTACCCATTCCTCTTACACAGTCATGACTACTCTGTATTGAACTTCTACCAAGTGATAAGTATTTGATAAACTTGATTTAGTATTTATTCTCCAGTGCTTTTTCCCAAATTCTTGGATGTGCCAAATGTTACTCCTGCTCTATTACCTTATCCCCATGGCAACTTGACTGAGTACCAGTTGGTATAGTTCAGAGGTGTAGAGGAAGGAAGATGCTAAGGGTCAGAGTGCATCGTCAGTTATCTGGATGGTAAATGTGAACATAGACTATCTGAGTTTTTGATTTTCCACATCCTCAGTGGTGTTCCTGTCATGGTGTCAGCAGGACACTGCAGCCTTCTGGGTTGTGTCCTAATAGAAATGTGATTTCAGTCCTTTTAACTCTGACTGTCATCAAAGGAAGGAAGGAAGTGAAGAGAAACATGCTTCCATGTTAGAGGTAGCTTTGGAGCCTGGATGGAGAGTTAAGAGATGGACTGTCCACTTCTGCCCTCCTGTGGATTTCCTCTGTGGCCTTGAGACAGTTAACCTCCTGAGTCTTCATTGAGGTGTCATAGAGAAAAGTGCGAACATCCTAGCCGAGTGCCTTGATGGAGCTGTTGTGACAAATCAGCCCGTCTGTGTAAGCAGCGTCTCACCTGACATAATCACCAGGGCCCCAGAGCCCACTGCCCTCCTGTTCCCGGGACACCCAGTGCCAACTGCGGGTGCAGTGGGTTAGTTTTACCTGCCTCAGAATCTGTGGCTGGAATCGTACAGCATCTGTCCTTGTGTGTACGTGTGACGTCTCCTGTGGTGGTTGTTACAGGTGGTTTGCTCTCACTTTTCTCTTTGCTCTGGTGGCACCTGTGGCATAGGGGCTGGACACTGGTGATCTTTGGTTTTTAAAAAATGTTGTGCTGGGGCTGGAGAGATGGCTCAGTGGTTAAGAACACTGACTGTTCTTGCAGAAGATCTGGGTTCAAGGCCCAGCACCCACATGGCAGCTAACAACTGTCTGTAAGTCCAGTCCTAGGGGATCCGACAGCCTCTTCTGTCCTCCGTGGGCATTGCACAACATGGGTGCACTTACCTACATGCAGGCAATATATACAGACGCATAAAATAAAAATA